AAAAAAAAGAAATATAATTCATTAAATTTAATTTTTCTTTAAATTTAAATTTTTTCTATGAACAAATTAGAATTTTTAATTTAAAACTGTGAACATTTTCTAACCTGACCTCTTTTCCGTTACTCGAAATCGCACAAGATCCCGTCCCGGGTAATAAGGATTCAGTTCCTTTACCGAAAAGGGGATCGCCGAGTGAACGGCCTATCGATAGCGTAAAAGCGACTCTTCCGGTTGTTGACCTATCTGTATGCCCTAGACCTAGACTGTTCATTCGACTCTAAGGCACGCATCGTCTAGCGTTTGTCTAGAGGTAAGTAGGTTACGCCCTTCCGCTGACTCTCCATTCATTTGAGTTTGGACGTAATAAATACATTTAATAAGATTGTAACAATCAAACCAAAAGCTAACAACTTGTGGTATTCGAGGAAACGTAAAAATCACGCACTTACACTAATTATGATATTATTAACCATATTATTCAGATTTTCCAATAAAATATTATAAAATTTTATTCTATACAAATACTTCTGACTATCTAATAGAATCGTTGATGCGATGATCAATTGAAACACTACTAAAATGGAATTGCAGATCTCTTCAAGCAGATTCATATATATTAGTAAAACAAATCTATGCGAACTGACAATAAAAATCTAAGGCCTATATTCAAAGCCGTTTTCGAGCTAAAGAGCGTATTAATAATAAGAGTTTATTAGAAATAAAGAGAAATACGAGCAATATAAAATTTTATTCTTTTCATTTAATATGTTTTTGAAATATTAACAATTTAATGTAATAAAGATATAAAGATCCGAAAATAATAAAATATGAGAGAGAAAGATTACACATAAAAGTAATGAAATAATTAATTAGAAATAAAACATATTTAACGTAAAATATACACATAATCACACATTAGATCATTTTATTGTACAAAACATTTTCATTAATTTCTTATATTCATGCGATATCTATGTTAGTTCTGAACGATTATTTGCGGCTGATTGGGATAAATTTTATGTAAACTGGATGAGACAAACGAATTACGATATCGGTCTTCAATCGGATATGCTTTAAACAATCTACGGGCTCCAAGTAAAAATTGTGCACTAAAGAAGCCATCATAGCTTTTAACTCCAGCAGAGCGAATCGTTGACCTACAAATCAAAGTCTTATCAAAAACTATGAACACAAAGAGAGAAGAAAATCGCGAGCAATTATTCACCTATATTCCTCGATCCTGCGCTGAATGGTAGATAGGAATAAAGATGACGATTCCATATTTTCTCGGGCAAAAATCTGTCCGCATCAAATACCTCTGGATTTGACCAAAAATTGGGATCTCGGTGAACTCCATAAAAA